TCGTGATATTTATCGATTAATTCTTCTTTCGTTTTCCGTTTTCTTCGTTACATTCACGAAAATATGAATTCGTATAAAAATCTGCGGTCTAGCAATTATTTTCCTCGTTATCAAACAACATTGTGGCATAGGAGCTTACCTTAACCCTGAGGGATTACCCTTTTGCAAATAATCGTAGAAGTTGTACAAGTTTGAACAAATTCAGCGAACGCTTACTCGAGCCGAAGATTTCCCTATTCGCTGACCAAAGAAGACTCGCGATGTAACAATGTGTCCCGTGTGATGCAAAGATCCGCAATGCAGGCTTCTCGAGGGATCTTCATGCTCTTTCTCGACGAGGAAGAGTCGTTTTAAAGGTTTCTAACGTTCTCTTGTAACCACGACCTAATTACGCGCCAATGTTTCGCGGTATTATGATAGCGTTTCGTTGATTCGCAACTTTTCGATCCTCCGAAAGGTTGACTCTTACATTCGTGAGCGAAACACGCGTAGCGAAATGATACTACTTCGTTCGCAGAATTCTCCTGATTTTTCCGTTATTTTATTAAATTACAAAATTTTTGCTAGAATAATTAAAAGTAGAACTAGAGAAAAGGGACTGCAACACCTATTCCCTTGATTTTTCGATACGTCGTAAAGAAAAGGGCCCTGAGTAAACGCACTTTGTTCGAAGCTTGGGAATCACGGTTCAAAAGTTACGAGAGAAAGAAAATCGAATACATATTGATTCATTGTTAGTAGTAATTCAGCGTTTATATTTCTCACTTCTGTCATGAGAACATTCTACCATAATGGATAACAATTATTCATATTTAGACACTTGTATTCGACTCGATGCAATGTAAGACTTTGTCATAACTTTTGAATCGCGATCGTTCCAAGTTTCGGACAAAGCGACTCTACTTTTATCAAATAACTATCTTGAACTTGATGATTTCATATATTTTGGGGGATTTTAAGAATTTTTTCGAGTGGATTATTTATATAGATTTAGGTAATTTCCTTGTTCTGTGATAAATAGATGACGATAAGTAATATATGTGGTTGAAGTAAATCGGATTCAGAAGTAAGGGGAAATTTTGATAGCTTGCTGATAAGTTTAATATTTCGGGCAAGGGTGGGCTGACTAGCTATCGGTTTGGGAAAATTTCCGGTGGGCCGGCAGGGATTTAATTAATGAACTAAAAACGGACGGCCGGTCATGCCGGTAATCTCCCGCTAAAAATTTAAGTCCCAGTCCGCCCCTGATCTCGAGACTTTTGTATAAAACGAAATTTTTTTGGACGAAGCGATTAGAGAGTTTTCACATTTAAAAAGAATTTTATTACGGTAGGTATTACTTTTGTAGCTTGACGATTTTCTATCAAAATTATATCATCAGGTTCGAAATATTAAGAATTCCTGTTAGAATTTTTAGAGGATCTAAGAGATAAGATTTGTAGAGATAATAACGATAATAATCTTTGTTTCCGCTTGCCTCTCGGTGTTGCGATGACCTCCGTTTTGCCTCCGTATATCTGTAAAAATAATAAAAGACGCCTTTAAATCGATTTACTTATGGCAATGTGTATTTTCGAAAATTCTTTACGTACAATTTAGCAAGAAAATGAAAAAAAAATTCATGATTTATCATCTTTTATTCGCTTTTCAACAAATTAAACAGAAATAGTTTTCACATACGTATCATCTATCGTATTTATGCACATTTCTGATAATCCGCAGAAAATTGTGAAATGTTTTTCGACTTCTAACACCCTTATTTACACGTGTCTGTATTATGTCGATAGAATTATTATCCTCTAAGCCAAGTATCGATGGAGCAGATTTTTAAGTATCGCGTGTATATATTGTTTCCTCGTCGCAGATAAACTTGTATTAGTTGGGAAAAATTGAGGAATTTTAGTAAAGTTCGCTGCCACGAGTTATCTTATCGTGCTTTTAACCTTTCAACGAGACTGCTCTATGCTATTAGTATTGCTGTACTATATTTTTATTGAATTGAAAACGACTTTACACATCGCGGTAATATTAAACGTGATTGCGTACGTATTTCAGATCGAACGACGATCGATAACTTTCATTTTCTCCTGCATTCTTCGATTTAACGAATTTCACTATCGATTCGACATTAATTTCATTAACATTCTATATTAGGAGGTATTATCGAAATTGGCCATCGTGCGTATAGAAAAAGATTCGCTTAATGCTTAGCTTCGCTTTAACGATAGTCGAAGATTATACGAATAATAGAAGTACGAGCTATTAGATTTGTAAATTCTAATACGTAGTACGTTTATCTCGCACATGACCAATTCGATTACTTTGCAATAGTTTGCGGAGATTCGTGATTATTTCCTGATTACGTGTGTTTCTGCAAGTAGTTTACTGTATTGTGTATGAACGCTATGATGATTGTATTATATTACCATAGATTATACGTTGAACTTTCTGTATTCATTTTATTGGCAGGTTATCGATACGATTTTTTATATTATAATATTATATAAATATCAAGCAAGAGCGCATATTGCATCGAAATTTTTATAACGTTATTAGTTTTCTATTTGTACGTTTTTTCATTTATTCGTTTTTCAGTGTTTCGTGTTATTCAACATTCTGCGTATATTTCATATTTGACAAAATCTTCATTTATATATATAATTACATAGTAAACAAATAATTAATAATTGGACCAATAGATCAAATAATTAAATAATTGAAAATTCGTCGATGAGAAATCTCATTGTTATAGGCCAATATCCGACGCAAATTCGTACACGTTTGTTCAACGTGTTGCACGCGAGTGTCACTTGTGTTTGCTGTCTCATGATAAACGATATTACAGTTACCGTGTTACTTTTTTTTGGAAATTTCTTCCACGTTATTAAATATCATAATCGCTCGTTTCAAAAACATATCACAAAAATAAACGTTTTATGACCGTCCATTTTTATAATATATCTATTTATTTTTCACGAACTTCACGTATTTGTTTAAATAATATAACATTCATAAATCAATGACACAATTTCACAGTAAATTAAATTCCATCGTGCATATTATAATGTACGATTGTTTAAACGATTCCTCGTTTAAAATACAAAATACGATTGTTTGATTTAATTAATACAAAATGCGAGAAATTTGCACTGGAATATGCGAAACGATAAATTGTTTTCGAGTTTCCTCGAGCATAAAACTCAAATATGGCGGGATAAGTTTTCACGACAAACAAGTCTTTTCTCTCGAACGCGTGACAACTCGGATCGACACTTTGCATGTGGAATCAGTTTCGAGGAATTCGATGATCTAAGTTAGAAGCGAAGATATCGTTTTTTCCTGCGATTCCATTCCATTCTATATTCGTGTACGATATTTTTCCAATCATAAATCCAACGATCGTTTTAAAAACAAAGTAGACGGTTACAATTTTATCGGTATTAAAACGCGTTAGAACTTGATCGTTGTTTGGTATACGGTATTGGTATTGTTTAATATACTTGTGATAGATACGGATAACAATAGTGTTTTCAAGTATGACAAACCTGTTCAGAGTTTGCATTTTAGTAAAGTATTTAGTAAAAGCATCTTAGTTAACCAAAAGTATACGAATCGCCCTTAGGCGATCGAGGAAAGCTTCGTTGCACCTACTCGGTACCTGTATTTTCAAAAAGATACATCTAGATAGAAAGAAACGATTCAGGCAAAAATACGATGGTCAAGAATATCACGTTGTTGCCAAATGTCAGGATGAATCCTGTAATCGCAGTTTTCGCCTGTATCGATCATAATTTCACGTCACATTTTGCATATCTTCGCTTAATTGAATAGCTTCCTCCTTCTTTCAATTTCGATATTTTTTAAATAACAAAATGATACTCTTCGGTGGAAATTCTGCTCTCGATAAATCATTAGAATGTTCGAGAATTATCGTAAATTTAAATAATCTGTTAACTTTGTTAAATTTAATTTTGTGTTACATAATTACGTACAATAAATCGTTACTACAATTGGAGAATTGATCTACATTTGAATAATCTGTTTTATTGGTTTTTCGATTCAATTTAATTTTGTATCATTGAATTACATTTTGAATTAAATTTTTCATAGAATTTCCTTTGTATTTATAATTATATATAGTATCTGTGATAATAATATTTTGTAATTATATTTATCGTAATAATTGCATAATTCCAATGGGTTTATCATGAAATCAGATAAAGTTTTAACAGAGCATATTTATATATTGGAAGAAAAAGGTATTAGTTATATAAACTTATTGGAAGGAGATATTGGAGGAGTATCGCATCCAGTGCGTTCCAATAATAACAATTAACAGGAAAGTCTAGGGAATAATATTAAGAAATTTTGCATAGAAATTATCCTTACTTTTGTGTATAGCTTTCAGATAATTTACATTTCCGATAAGTGATTGTAACTACGCATCGTAAAAGTAAAGCGTATCGGTACTGTTTAAGCATGCGATTGTATACGTCGATAGTTTGCAGCTATATAGATATCGTTATTATTAGTTTGCTATCGCGAGATAAAATGATAACTTAACGAGAGAAAAAATATCTATTTATTATTTTATTTACCGAAAGAAGCGATTCTTCCGAATGACGAGAACCTTCAATTTTAAGAACATAAAATACTCGAGAATTCTACGTACTCGATAAAAAGATAATCTTTCCAATTGTTTGGTTTATATATTTAGTACCTGGTAGTCGAGTATGTAAAGTATCTTAAAATCTAATCTGAATCAAATTATTTAATCTAATTCGACTAACGTATTTATTTTATTTTAAAATTAAACAAAGTTAAATTTGTATAATAAAATAATACGTTTTCCGAAAAACATGCCATAAAGTAAAATAAATACGGTGCTTGACGATCTCGATCGTACACCTCCGCGTATTTGGTGTCTCCTGATGAACACGCAGAAAGCACGAGTGTATATAAAGGGGAGAACAGAGGCGAAGAACTCCGTATCTTGGACTTGGAGGCAACAGTCCGTATGCATTGGCGAGAGCATTGCCAGCTATCAGTATTAGTTCGGCCGTCCTCATGTGCGCACCCGAGGCGCTCTGCGCGACATCGTTACGACCATTTCATTAGAGAAAAACGAACTTTGTGTTTATACATATAGAACACGTTCATCGCGTCTTTCTGCGTATACTCGTGCGAACTGGAATATAACGAGTAACGTTCCGAGTGATTCAGTGGAGTTAATCGAAACAAACAACCGGCAAGCAAAATAATTCCAAAATAATCGTATAACGTTAAGATTTCTTTCCAACGTAAATTACCGTAAGAAGTACATATCTATTAAGAATGTGAACTGTCGAATGTTTGATTTACTCTCTTCCTGTTTTAACCGTCGATCGATAGAAGATTATTAATAACTCGTCGTATTGTTTCGATAAAGTTACTGGTAAACGAAGAAGAGGTATCTTTCGAATTGTTTAATACTTTAACGTGTTTATGGCATGTAATCGTGGATGAAATATTTTCATTGTCTTACGATTGTTGTTTACGATTACGTAAAGGGTACGAAACGCAAAGTGTACCGCGATGCGACCTACAGATAAATAACCGAATTAAATTAGTTTGGCTCGCGTAATTTTTCTGGACGCAGTTGCCGTAATCCGTAATTCGTATTACGTTATTCGCGGGACTGTATCGAATAACCGGTCTTTTTTCCGCTCCGAACCTTTACTTCCGACAATGGATCAGTCGACCGCGTGCTTCGTTTTCGTAACGTCTCCCCGAAGGTAAACAAAACAATCGGCGATTCGATCGTACGAAAATACATGTAGTTTCGATGAACCGTCGAGAACGAAAGGAAATTAACGGTGCAGAAGTTTCGTGACGAGTGCGTTGTATATCATCGAGAGTATCGAAGGACACGAGGACCGAAGAATCTCGAGTCAGCATCTAAGAAATCTTATCTAAGTTCTCGCGATAAATTTCGGATAAAATTTCTGTGTAATGGAAGATTAATGGGACCGAGTGTCCTCTGAAAGTCCGTGAAATGTGCCGTATCCTTGCATCCATGTTGGCGACGAGATTTCGCAGGACGTCGAAAAGTCGCTCGACGGGACTCGATCTTAAATAAAATCAACTTTGCAATTTCATTCGGTCGATATTAACGGTTTCGAATAACTTATAAGAAACTACGTAATAGAAGGAGTCGAAAATTTTCATAAAAAAGTTCAAGAGCCTATGGAATATAGGAGCTTGTTTTTTTAAAAGATTCTGTACTATTACGCCGAAAAAGTAACCTATCGAAGCACACGTCAAGAAATTGGGACGAGTTTGAGAACCAACAAGGACGATCTTTGTTTTGAGTGTGTTTTTGAGTGTGTTTTTGATCGTGTTTTTGATCCGCCAGAATTTACCGCGGGCAAGTAACTTGTATTTTATCGTACGCGTGAAACTATTTAAAGTTGATACTGTGAAACTGAACGTGATAGGTGATGTATGGTAAATGTTTTGGCACGCGAGAAGAATATTTTTATATCGTTGTAAACCGCTGACGCCATTGTGACTTTTATCAGGATTAGAAGAACAGGTGTCGCCGCGTCATGGTATGTTTCCCTCTGTTTATATTCTTGGTTCAATGTCACTGTCATTACTGCAAAACCGATACGATTTGCTAATAATCTCTGTAGAAAAAAAATACGATCCAAAAAAACGAATTCAAGAATATTAATCGTTCTATAATGAAGAGTAAATTATATTAGATATGTACGTATTTAAAATTTAAAATTCTGCAGAAAAGTTGACGTTGAAATTGAAATTTTTGGTACGCTTTTAATAAATAAAATAAATTAAATTTATTCAAAATGTACCGTACGATAATATAGTACTGTTAAATTACGTTACGACGTTACGAGGATGCACAACGATTTACAATGATTTAAAGCGAAGGATCGTTAGATACAACAAATTTTAATTTCTTTTTATCGAAGATTCGATCGTATACGAGGAGTTAGTTTATTTTTTCGCATCGTGATCGGTATCTAAGACTGATAACAACAATCGTCAAGTGTTTCTGCAAATGGCGTTTGTCTTAGATTCATTGATATTATACTTTAAAGCACTCGAGACCTATGTTGCTTGTCAAAAAGTGCTTCGTTACTTTTCTACAATTCGTCGATCATTTTCGCTAATAACTATTTCTAAATGACGCCGTCAAATTATGAAAATAAATATGAAAATATCGCGCGTAAAATACGTTTTCTCATAACGTCGTTTAAAATGTCAAATTAAACACCGGATATCCGAAAAGTTCGATAAATCTATGACGAATTTAAAATTTACAGACCCCGTAATTGAAAATTAATAGATTCCGATTCAAAAGTCTATCTTCAAAAATGAAAAATTTCAACTCGAAAGTTTACATTCAGAATGAAAAAAAAATTTCAATTCGAAAGTTTATCTGAAAAGTTCCAATTCAGAAATGCGAAACGAAAATTCAAATTCGAGATTTAAAAACTAGAGAATTAGTTAGAAATTCATTTTAGTATAAAAATTCGAATAAAAAATTTATTTACATGGAAAACACTGGATCGTTTGATCGTATATAGCGATACAGAGTGACGCGTTAGTCGTCATCGACATCTCTGTGAAATCTACTCGACGTAAACGCAAGATCGATATTCTTTTTAGCGTAGTAATATCGGATGATTAAACGCAGCACGTGGTACCACGAGTTCGTTCTCCTTGCGTATTGATAACGAAGGTTCATAGTTTCCCGGTCAAATGTTGGTCATTCCTTTGATAAACGCTCAACTGTCATCCATGCAGAAGCACGTGGTTTACGACTTCCCGGAACAGTGATCATGAATCATTAAGTTTCTGAGTCTTTCAATTAGGAAAATTAACCGATTTATCGACTCGACTAAATCATGGCATACGAAAGATTATCAAAATCGTAGCACGAGTCGATCTTTAAATGCGTTTTTAAAAGCAAGCGAACAGAAAACATTTATTCTGTATTGTTGGCTGTAGTTCTAGAGATACGATACAATTGGTCTGTGGGTGTAATCGTTGATATGTCAAGGTCAGCCTCATTTTTTTTAATGAAACCTGATGTGACCAAAGTTCAGAAGAAATGTGACATATATAAATGAGAAATTCTTCGACTTTGGGAAAACTGTAGGTAAAATTTAACTTTAACAGATCGCTGATATTTAGATATTTAACAGTAGAACTACAATTTATTAGTTGTTTGTACACTAAAAAAAGAAAAAAGAAAAAAGAAAAAAGAAAAACAGAAGAAAAAACAGTCGTACATACGCAAACTTCGCGAAGTAAGCTCGACGAATAACTTAATAAAGAAGAAAGCTTAATCTAATTTTTTAATTAGAAGGGATATGTATTTGTAATGTAATTAGTCTATGGTTAATATTATACAGTTCAGTTAAATCTACGGAAAAGAATAAAAATGTACGCACGTAGGAAAATTGTAAGAAATTTTGCGTAACATAAATCGATCTAGTAATATAATTAATAATTTTTCATAAAATCTTTCCAAATTTATAACAGCGATTGTTTGAGGATTTAAATGAGAATTCTTTTTCAGAGTAAGAAGTGGAAGCTAGTTAGACAAAAATCGAGATAATTTTAGCATCAAGAGAGTAGTCGGAGTTAAGGTAGTTTAGTGCAGCGAATGTAGGTTAGATTAGATAAATCAGCATAGAATAATAGCAGCGAGTCATTAAGTTCAATGACCTATCTTACAAAAATCATTCAGGTTTACGAATGCATTAATAAAGAATATTAATAAAGCTACGTCGAAAGTGTATCTTGTTGGCCAGGTTGAAAGTTGAAGTTTTTCTATTATAATGTTGATTACGATGTTGAATCGTTTCGTGTAATAATCGTTAGAAATCTGTGTGTCAAATGTTCCTATTACGATAACGTAGAAGAAACAATTATGCTTCGTTCGAAAGAAAATCAAAGAAATTCAAGACCTCGAACTAGATTTAAATATTAATCGAACGAGCACTAAATTGTAAGGATTTTAAATCGAAGACCATAGGTGAAAAGTACGATAAATTACGTTTCTTTTATAGGAGACTAATTGCCAAATTTAATACGTTGTCGATTAACTGTGCATAAAAATGAAAAAATATCTTTCCATCTGACTTTGTATCTGATTTCGGATATTAGTTAAATTAAATTAATATAGCAATTTGTCCGATACTATTTCTTCCTTGTAAAAACATTCCGAATTTACCACATATTTTTAAAAAAGCTTACGATATCTTCGAGTTGTTCTCGAGAGTTATTTCTCTTTCAATTATTTCACGTCGAAATACTCTTTAACACCAAGCGACATAAAAGACAGAAAGTTAATAAAAACAGATATATCGTACTTTTTAAATTATCTGTCAGTGATATCCCAAATTTATTTCCACGTAGTTTAATCGCTAGAGTGTGGATGTTTATGTATTTATGAAAACTCGAAGCGTGCAAAATTGCACAGAATTCGTGCAATACGCAAAACTAATAGATTATACGAATTATAGCACTCGTTATTGGATAAATATAAATTTGCATAAACAACCGTGGCGTGATTACTAATAAATGTCATTTATATTTTAGTGATTTTCATCGAATATTTCTATTTTCAATCCGATTTTGATGCTCTACGATCCGCTTGGTCTAAAACGTTCCTTTGCAACAAAAGCGCGAACGTACTCGCTCTTTTGTGCCGTACTCGCTCGGAGCGCGCGTATTAAAATATCTTTTGTAGCCTCTGAAAAGTAAACGTTTCAGACTGAGCATTTTGTCGCGACACGTTAGGCACTTTTAACAGTTACATCGCGCTTCCTCCTCGTCGTCCTACTTCTTTTTTCTCTTCCCTCCTTTTTAATTTGTTTATTACATCAGAAATCAGATATTTCGCATTTTTCTTCCTGTATTTTATAAATAACGAAGCAAGCTATCGGTGGTCACCAATAATCGATAAACTGTATGACTTTTATGCATTTGTGGGGAACTCGAGGGTGCAAAAATGTATAAAATATCCAAATAGCGCTTGTTATATGCGCTATATTCGCCTATATTCATAGTAAAATTATTGTCTAGTTAGATTTCGTTTCTTTTCATTCAGTCTAATTTATTTTATTTCATGTCATGGACACTTTTTATTTTGCACATTCTATTCGAACGCTACCAAGACAGAAGATTTGAAATTTTATCACTACTCGTAACTATATGGATAAAATTTGAAGTCGGTATAAAAATGTATATAAAAAAGTTACTTATTTTAACCATGTACTTGTTAAAGAATTAATTAGCGTACAACGCGAATAGAGCGCTCTCAAACGTAGAGTCGATCAAAAAAGAACGATCAAACGTTGTAAAGTTTTTGCACAAAAATATAAATCTTCGTGTTTCTTTCGAAATTTACCAATTTAATCATGACAATCATGTCGAATTATAGTGACAACAAAATTGTAAAATCTTTCGCGCGACGCACGTATCTAATATATGCGTAACTTTTTCTATGCTTTAATCGTGTCTATCCAAATTACGCGATATTCTAGATTCAAGCGTTAATCTGTAACACCTACGCCAGACTTTCTAAAGTTGATTAACAGCAAACGCTACGTAACGCATCGTTCTTTTCTCTCCTTCAACCGTTCTTCTTATAATCGCTAATGCAATTAAGGTAATAGCAAGCTTTTCCCGTGACGCGGGTTAAAATTTACGCGGCAATGACTTAAAAGCTTTACGAGATGAATTTAGCTTGCGAACGATTCACGGATTCGGCGCCAGAATCGGAGGGAAATTTTCGTCGACACGCTGGCCGTTTTACCGCATCCTTATTTTACAATTGGCCAGTTGACGTTATTCTATAATTGAAGGTCGTTAATTTTCTGCGTTTTCTGTCATTGCATCGTGGCTGTAGAAGGCTGCTATACGCGGTGTAAATAATAATTGGAATGTTCGCCAAATAACGTAGAGGTTGACGAATTTGGGTATCATTTAAATGCCACGTTTACGTATATCCATAGTTCGAGGATCAAAATAATTTGTACGTAATTATTTTATTTCACGTGAAACAATATTGGACGAGTGTTAATTAAAATTAAGGTAGAATCGTAGAGTCGATTTTTGAAACTGATTTTTGAAGTTGATTTATTATAGTTGGTGGAGATTTAAAATTGAAATGCTAATTTATCTAATAATGCTAATCTGATCTTTCTAAATTATTTTACGTATCTACTTGTTGTTACTTTAATTAAATAAATAAGTATCACGTACTTAATTACTTTACGTATTTAATAAGAACGAAAAGATGTGCGTTAAAAATCGAAGGATCTGTTCACGTGCTACTATGAAAATTTTATTACGAAAGTTTCTTGTAAAACCTTGCCGAAGTTCAGAGAAAATATATACGATATCTTTTGCTCTTCATATTTTTTTCAGCTTGTTGGAACATCGATAAAGGAATCTTATCATTGATTGCTCTCTTATTAAGGTGTACAAATAACAAGCGTATTATTTTCCATACGAGATGAAAGTATAAACGACGGATTTTTCGATGCACGAATTTTCCTCGAAGAATCGA